GACCATTGGCTTGCTGCAAGGGTAGAGGATCTGATACTCAATCAGGTGTTCTTAGGTACAACTGAATGCCTTCTCAGCATACAGATGGTACAAGCAAATTTACTAAATTGGACTGTATGCTAACATTCCATACAATACAATTCTCTTATAGCAAAGCACAAAACAGCTTACCTGCAATATACTAAGACATCAATTGGACCAGCAACATGTGGAATATTACTTTTACAGATGAGTTAAAGATGGTTTATTCCCATTCCATCTACTCTAACGTAATCATATGCCAAAATAAATGCTATGTATTTTTTCTGTAAACTTGGTATGCCATTTTATTGTAACTGAAAAAACTTTAAAGCAGTATTATAATTTCTTGAGAACAAGCTATGTTTTTTTTATGTGATATACTTGTAGTGTATGTGTGCATGTACATGAAAAATATCAATGTGTGAATATTTAAAAATATATTGCATCATATTGTAAACAGTATAAATACAAAACTGCTTTGTTTCTAAAACCTTGCTAAAGTGGTTTTTGTATCTGAACCTTATTCTATGTTTGACAACCTGATGATTGTATTTTTTATGTTTATGCCCATTTAGTCTATTGTCAACCTGAGTAGACGAACTAGGATGTTACCTTGAGTTTGCTCTGCAGACAGATAGCAGGCCCATATTTGTTTGAAATGATGCTGGAACTTGATTGACTCCATTTTCGTACAGAATGTGACACGTGTGCCAATGGTGGAAGTATGGCATGAAAAATAATAAACATTAGGGAACTTGCCAACTTCTACATCATATGGAATGGTATCACTAATGCCACATGATACAGGTCATATTTTATGACCCTTTATGCTATCATATACTGATACAATTTATCTCGATTTTAGCCTAATTGGTGATAATAGATACAGCCACTTGCTAAAGTGGTCAACATATTCCTTGAAAAAGCATAAATTAGCCAAATCGACTGGCTTTCATACTCACTGGGCTTCATTGCCATTAAACATGTAGGAATGCTCCTAGGTGATGCATCACATTCCATCAAATGATTCGGATACTAGAGATGTCCTTAAAACATCTCTTTCAGAGGAGTAATCAAGGATAGCTCAGGTCTTTATCAAGCTCTGAGTTTAAGGATGCAACATCAGTAACGGGCTTTCATACTTCACATTGAAGTAAAATGCCATGAACTGTAAAGATGCAAAGCCATTTTTATCCACCATACATCTACTGTATATTAATTTACAAGCACAGATTGATGAATAATTTGCATTTCAAATCAAATGACTTACCTTTAGATACCTAATTAACACAAAACTTTACCAAGGGGAGTGATTGATATTAATTTATAGCAGTAGTTTTGTATGATCATAACTATAAAATTACAAATTACAATTATCCATTAATTGTTTGGAGCTGTGTATAGTGTCCCAAAATGGTATTCCTGTTTCTAATGGCAGTAAAACATCAATCCTTATTATTATCAATAACATTGTCATACAGCGTGAACTAGTTGTTGTAGTTAAACTGCATATCTGACATTAGAAAAGTTGGCTTTTCAGAAATTACCAAAAATTACAGAAGATTGGATGGCTAACCTTAATGGAAACAAATGTTGTTGATGTTTTAATTTATTGGTTCAATAAACTTTAACAAAAGAAAAATGTATTTCATAGTTTTGCATTCCAACTAAAAACCCTTTTCTAAATGGATGAATAAGCACATTTAAGATATAAAAGAAAAGCCAAGTTTAAAAGAATATGAAATTCTATAATAAGATGGAAGATGTTGAAGGAGAGAGAGAGAGAGAGACATCACAAATCATTCTATTCAAAATAATAAAAATTATTTAAATGATTTTACATCAATGTAAACTGTAAAAAGAGACAATCAAGTCTTTCTGTTCTTATAACAAATTGCAAAGGAGACCTACCATAATATGAAAATTACCTGTGTGATCCTTATTTTAAAAGGGGGGGGGGATTGACTACTGCTGTTAGCAAGATGTTCTATACTATATTGTCAGATAGCTTTTAGAAAGTTGTAATTTTAATGTACATGATTTTAAAAAGTGTTTTTCCTACATTAACAATTCATTGCTTTTTGTTTTGTTTTATACAGACAATCTTCTTTTTGAATGAAAGCACTCCAACCCTTTGCTTTTTAACATCAAGTGAGTTTTCAATCCAAGTTAATATGTGGAAATAAATAAGCTTTTTTCCAAGCGAAAGAATGAAACTTTTGGATATTCATCAATGGTCTATTTAAGGAGAAATGTTCATCATTCATGTTAAGAATTTCATTGATAGTAGTTTTTCTAAATTTTCAAATATTCCAACTATCTAAGTAAACAAAATACTGCCACTGTGATTTCCAATTATTGATTAGTTCAAGGTGTCTAACCTTGATTGGTGTCATGACTTACAAAACTAGTGTTTTTGATTGCTACTATTTTCAATTATGCCATCTATTCAAATATTATGTGAGAATAATTGGTTAGTTTAATGTAATCAATTAATGAGCCAGATGACTAACTGATTATCAAATTCCATTACTCACCCAGCTCTAATTGTAATTGTTGGAAAAGGCTAATACTGTTGATAATATTTGTCTTATTCAGGACTCCAACAATCGTATTAACTGAGACAGTATATAGAAAAGGAGTTTCAATAAGGCATAGATTCAGGACATGGAAATTTCAAAAGGTTTTTTTCTTGTGTGAAAGGAGCACTGGCAGAATTATAAACAAAGCCCTCTGTTGTGTTTAACTGTGACAAAAAGGACAAATGGAGATGTGGATGTACTTACAGCAGTACCAAATTTAGGAACAATAATATTATTGTGGCTCTGTACTTTATATTTAGGGCTTATGATTTTTGTTTTAACTGATAAACTACAATAAGTCACACCAATAAAAAAATTAAATTGGTGTATATTCAATAAACATTGGAAATTTTTACTCAATTCATATTAACTAAACCCCTTTCTCAGTGCAGTTAGGTAATGTCCCTCCTTCCTGACTTGTACCTAGCATTCATTCATTCTGAATATTTTAACACACTCCAACTACTAAAAGCTAGGAAGTTCCTCCATTTCTATTACAGATTCCACAGGCAGAGATGGTTGTACACACTTTAAAACGAGATTACAATTAGATATGGAGGATTTGTCTTCCTTGAAGGATTTAAAGCTATGTTACAGAATCCTGTAATAAAAATAAAGATCGCCCTGCAGGAAGAAATTTGGCAAAAAGCCAAAAAAATAATCTCATATGATATATGAAAAGTGAAAGCCATAAAAAAAAAATACCAAAAAAGTAAATTAATAAACACTAAAAAACAAATGCTGCTAATACACAATGGACTATGTTTGCCTGGAGAATCGAACCACAGAAACTTACTGCTGATCTGCCTGAAGCCCTGTCTATAATATAACCTAGTGAGACTCCACTTTAAATTATTGTACAATTTTTAATCTATTGATAGTGAGATAGCTATCAAGAAAGGAAATATAAGCTACAACATATAAAGTGATACCTAAATTAAATAAGCTGAGCTACAAAGTGAGGCTTCATTTTCATTTTCTCTGAAGCATAAAAGAGCTGGAGCTAACTTAATAATAATAATAAATACATAAGCTAATGTTAATAAAAAACATAAACCTAATTCTGATGTAAAAATTACAGTACACCAACTTAATCTACTTCATGCCAAAATAGTTTTTGTTTGAGCAACTGATGATACAAATAGCATTTTGACCACTACTGTGTTTGTCATATCCCAGCTGTATTCTAACTTAGATCTCTACCAATCATTATTTCATCTCTGTAATCTGCTAAAACATTTTGGCTATTCCTGATGGAAAAACTATTGACATGCTAAACTAAGTTTTACTGTCCTTGAATAAAAATCTATTCATATGTAACACCAAACATAATTTGTATGATGCAAAAGAGAAAAATATCCTTTATATATGATAAGAAACCATTCCTCATTTTTTTTTATCCTGGATCTTGGTATTCAGTAATCAAAATAGTTCTATTCATTTTTTTCCATCCTCCACATGCAAACATACTAGTAAACATTAACAACTGAAGTACCACTTAACAACAACTTCATAATTCTTTCACATTTTACACGTTGTTAGTTAAAGGTTTAAATATTTTTGCAAATGTTAAAAACTGTGAAAAAAAAGAAGGTATCTCTGTTACATACAATAGCACTACTGAACACCTATATGTAATTTTCCTCTTTCCTAGTAACAGTGTCATTTACAATTTAAATAGGGGAGAACTTTTACTGGTAGTCCACAGACCAGCTAGACACTTTGGGCTGTTACATGCTAAAATGTAAAAGTAAGTTTACTTTGAGAACATTTGCTCTTATTATATCCTATATTATTTAATAACCACTCAAATTGTGAAAAGTACAGATTACACATATACATATTGTTCCCAAGATAAACAAATTCGATAAACTATAATGAAGTACAAGGGATGGCAACTGTCCTTCTGCCCCAATTAAATGCTACCCCTCAAACCTAGTCCCTAAATAATTGTTGTACCCTTTGAGAGTTTCAATTTATTGTCACAAATCTTTAATTAACTTGTTTCATTTCCTTTAAACTTAAGCAAAAATATTCTAGAATGTACGAATAAATAGCTTAACTGCTACCTTTCTGCCTAAACTTCTTGGAACATTGAAAATAAATACGATAGAAATCATCATATCACAGGTTCTATCTTTTGTGTGGACAATGTATTTGGGGCTTTGACTACGTGGGCTACGTTAGAACCAGAGTGAACTCTTTTATTTTTCTTACGTACCCTGTAATATCTATAACTATAACCTAGTATTACTATTACGATTAATACGCTTGAGAAGTACTTCTCCAGATCGTAGTTTGTGCAAGTGATAGTGCAGTAATATTAGTAGCTTTATATAAATATAGGCGTTGATCATGCTAATAATAACAGTATTACTCTTAGTAATGCCTACATACGATCTACACAAGATGCAATACACCTAGCTGGTACTACGGTGTTCCGGTTCTTCAACAAACATCGTCCATGTCGTACAACCGAACAGCCCGTGGATAAATGCCTAGCTGAAAACATTTGTTTTCGGAATAATAATAACTTATCTAGCCTACAAAAGCAGCAACCTTTTCTTTCGCTTTTATTAACAACCCGAAATTTTATGTTTAATTCTGTTTTTACTTTCAACAGAACCTTAAATCAATTTCGATTAGACTTCACCAACTACACCTTTTCAACCGTTAACCTTTAAAACGAAGTCGGAGTAGATCTGGCGAGTACGACGTCATATATTCAGGTTTTTCATGGGCTATGGCGTACTCTAGCAAGAACGAAATATTTAATTACTTATCGGAGTAACTGCCAAGAAAGGTTCAGGTCACATAGGCAATATAAAAGCAACGCATGTATCTTTAACTTAATCATGTTTTATCTCGATAACGTTTATTACTAGTAATAGTATGACATTTCTACGTTATAGCGACATAGAGTACATAGAATTATGGGTATAAGACTATAACTATTAACATGCAAAAGTAACATAGTATTCGATCAATCAATTGTGAATATGGCACAGTGGCGTAGCATGGGGGCAGTCGCCCCCGGGCTCAGATGTGAAGGGGCGCAAAATTTCCTCTGGCCTACAATGCCTATTAATTAATAATTATGCCCTCCTCTAGGATATAGCTCAACTGCCCTACGTTAAGTAAATACAACACAGTGTTGCGTTATTTGTGTGTATTACGCTTGCAGTTTTAACTTTTAAAAGCCGCCCAGTGAGACCAAACTGATGTACAGAAGTAAATTACGCTATTCCATCAAGCATTTGTAGATCAAATACAAGCTCTAGAGTACAACGTACAAGTAAGTGCATGTTCAACAAAAAGAAAATACGAGACTGATGTAACA